AAGGTGTGAGTGAGTCTCTCTCTGAATATTCCTGCTGTAACACTGAGTTTGGTCTAAAAGAGGCTCCATCAGTGAACTTCACTCCCTTTTATTAGTATTTATATGATGGATTATTGTCTAGCGAGCACATATGGAGCGTTAGCTTGTGAGAAAAACAGTCTGTGATCTGAAGCAGATCATTCAGTTTCCTCATATGAGAACAGATTTCTGCCTGTTATTGTTATTCAGCTTAGAAAGTCAATAAATGGCCTCGTTCAGATGGACTGAGTTGAAAAAGAGCTGCCAGATATTTATAGGTTTTTGTCTATAACAGCAGAAATGGAAAAGTTGCTGTGCTGAAAATTGATCAAACCAATCTGGCAACCCAGACTGGACCAAACGCAATGACCGGAATGAAGGTGAAAGTGAAAGTAGTCGCTGCTTCTTCCGCTCTGGACGCTGAAGTGGAGAGTCGTGTGTGAGATTAGTGGAGAGTTTAAACTCGGTCTTATTATTATGGATCTGCTGTTATAGACAAAAACCTGATATGAACTGATTTAAAATGTGGACATATTTCACCACCAGCAGCGATATGACTGTATGAAGAACAGAGAAGGTAAGAGCAGTTAGCATCATGCTAATCAGGAAAAAGACCACTGTGAACATCAAACCTGAGTGGAAAATAAGTATAAATCTCTCTCTCTCTCTCTGTAGGATTGTATTAGTGTGAATCTGTAGGAGGAGATAAAGAGATAAAAATGGCGGCTGCAAGAAACAGTAAGTTAAACTTCCAGAACCTACAAAAGGTTTTACTGTGAACATCATTAAATAATATTCAATCAGAGAGTTTATTTTTATTGTGGAGACACACGAGACACAACTATTAATGTGTGTGTGTGTTTGTGTTTCTACACAGATGAGTTTAAACTTACTGGCCCCTGTGGTGATGTGTATGAGTTTGGATCTGCTCTCACTCTCTCCTGTCACCTGTCTCCTGAAATCAGTGCTGTTGCCATGGAGATCAGGTGGTTTAAGGGGACGGACTGTGTTTGTCTCTATAAGAACAGGCAGGTGACAGAGGGGAGGGGCTACGAGGGCAGAGTGAGTCTGTTCTCTCAGGAGCTGCAGAGAGGAAACGTCTCCTTACAGATCAGAGACTGTAGACGGTCAGATAGAGGAGATTATCTGTGTCAGGTCACCAATGGAGACACAACAGAGGAGTATACAGTAGAAGTGAGGGAGCGTAAGTATTCCAGAAGTTCACTCTACATAAACTCATCATCATCATCATCATCATCATCATCATCATCATCATCAGCGTCTCAGAATGAAAGATGAAGAGACAGAAATGAGAAACACAGATGTTCAGAATGGTGTTGTGTTCAGATAAAGGAGGTAAAACATACAAAGGATAAATGATGTTAATGTGGAGTGAAGGACAGATGGAGCATTTCAGTAGAAAAAACAGTGACTCTGTTTCTCACTCTGACTCTAAACCTCCACATCATGACTGCACAGTGGAAAACTTACAACTGCAGCTGAACTAAAAATACAGGATAAGAATTAAATAAATATTTTAGTGATTCTGATTAAAGTTTCACTGAATCTACAGACTGTAATCAGATCATCGATTTAACAGGCAATATATATTAATTATTAAAATATTATATTTAATATGTGACGTCACTACAGGCTGCTGACTAACTGTCCCAAAAATCCTGTTCTTAACTAATTAAAGCTGCAGATCCACAAACTACAGACACTAAAAGGGGCGTGTTCAGAGTTGAGATGCGCGTAGTGAGGAGATAAAACCGAAACTGCGCATCTTTATTCACACTTCAGTCGTATCTGTGGACTCGCGCGCTGTTCAGACTCGTTGCGCGCGGGGCGGAGTTCACCAATAAAGAGGCGAGTCTCAGTTCTCCGATTCAGACCCTGAACTTCAGCTCATTTCTCTTGAGCGATATCCACTCCCGCCAGGAGCTGTATTAAGACCAGCGCCCCCGTCTGACCGTTTGATGTAACCACAGTATTTCAATCTGAAATTCATGTGTTTGAGTATAAAATACAAACAAACGAATCAAGAACAAATTTAAATATAAATTACCAAATTAATGAATAAAAGTATAAAAACATTAAAATACAGATAGAAGATTAAATTTGATCTTAATCTTCTAAAGAGTTTAAGATGAAGAATGTGAGTGAATGTGATCTCCAGCCTGTAGATCTGGTGATGATGGTGAAGATTCTTTACATCTGTAAAATCACAGCAATACTACAGTTTTACAGCTGAGTTATTTCAAGCCAGCTCAGCTTCAGCCTGACAGGACACATCATGGATTTTCATCAACAAACATTCAAGAAAAAAGCTTCATTTATTCAATGAACTCAAGCAAAGTTTTAGTTTAAACTCTAAATCAGTTTAGTTCAGTTCTAAATCATCTTAAATATTGAGTTCTTCTTACAGAATCACTGAACTGAGCTGAAATATGAACTACATACACTGTAAAAGTCAAACAGGCTGTTTTTGAGGTTTGAATTATAAGAATTGTTTTGTTCGTCTGAAATAGCTTTAAGAGCAACATGGATCAAAATGACTTCACAACTAAAAATCCATTTCTAGATCTTTTAGTCTTTATTTTCTCTAAAGGGACAAATCCTTTATCCTCCACATTAATATATTACAATCTGATAACCTGTATAGTTTTAATATTATATTTTATCATTCTATAATATCATAATAATACACTGTAAAAAATGTGACTAATGGTTACTTAAAAAAAATATGGCAACAAGTGACTAAATATAATTGAATAGATTTTACTCACCTAAACTTTGATTAAAATGCATTAAATAAGTGAACTAAATTTAAGCAAAAAAAAGTTAATGTTAATAAAAGCAACAGTTAAAATGTGTTGTATTTAGTAATATTATGCCACATTATGAGTTAATGTAGCCCACAAATATTGACTAAATGCAAATTAATTTAACAAGGAAAATTTAGTTATATCTACCGAGTGTCTGAGCAAAATTGCTTTATATTGACTCAATATCTGGGAAAATGTATTTACATTTACTAAATATCTGTTGAAAACTGGTTTATATTTCCTACACTTTACTACATCTGTGGTTGCCAGATCTTCACAATACACATATACAGTGGAAAAGTATAAGACATTTCAGTATGCTTTTTTGCCAACCCTAAATTTCTCTGTTGAGAACTGTTGTTTGTTTACGGTTAATTACTATGAAAAAAAGCATATATTGTAAATCTGTATACAGTAAATTATTTTGAAAACAACAGATACACTATTAACATTATTACAGTCTATCAGTGATAAACACAGTACAACCGTATGACACATTACAGTATTTCATTGCAAAAAATACAGTACAGCACATAAGGAATTACAATTAGTTGGCATAGATTTAAGAGTCAACAACTGCTTATGGTAAATTACAAAGGAAACAACAAATAACACCCATTACAATCCAAGGTACAGACTATATTGATGAACTTCGAGAAACTTTTCTTGGATGATTAAATAAAATGTCCAGGATACTCACAAAGCAGTGCTTAGATGATGACAAAAACAGCACGTGTCCATGTATATAACGGATAATCCACGGTGGAATGAATAAAGACCATGAAAAGAATCAGCCTCTTGCCCTGGCTGATCAAGAATAATGAGTCAATGAGTCCAGACTTGACCGAAGAATATGCTCAACATAGGATAGAGTCTCACACAGACATGATGTTGGATGATTACTGGAACTTAAAGTGTGCACTGCCACCAGTTCTGCATGAGAATATTGTCCATCAGGATTCTCATCAGGAGTTCACTAGGGACCTGCACGACCCTCTCTGTAGCCAGAAAACAAAAAACACAGTAAAAGTTAGATCAATGCTTTGCTTGAGCATGATACCCACACAAAGATAAACGTAAGGCCTTCTGCTGTTAAACTGAGCTCCAATGTAGTAAATATACGAGAAACCAGCATTCAGCATTCATACCAATTTCCCCCATCTTTATCTTGTTTGGTCAACTTCCGTAAATGACTGGTTTTACTGACTGATATCTGTCAGCACTAAAATATTTAGTTGAGCTAACATAAGAATATTTGTTGTACTAAGTACAGCGAAGTCTCAACCAAAGAGGAGAAGTACAACACAGGTGAACTCAGCTGATCAATCAATAATCTGCCACTGTTCTAAGAAAGTAATATATGCATTATCATATATTAAGACACTACATACTGCATCATGTCTTGAAAAATTAACAATTCTTAAAGCTCACCTGTGTTCACAGGTAAGCATAAATGAACTGATTGCACAAGAAATCCTTTAGAAACAACTGCATTAACTGCCTAAGCAAAATATGTACAACTTACACACAATTCAGGCATACTGAGTGGAATAGCAGGTAACAGTTACAATGTTGTTAACAAAAAATACAAATTAAATTACATCACTGTGATTGATTATATGTGTACACTTACTGGCCACTTTATTAGGTAATGCTGCCTTGTATTTACTTACTTTTCTACTGAATCAGGTCCAATAAATATATATGTGCACTTTGTAGTTCTGCAATTGCAAATTGTAGCTGATCTTTTTCTCTGCATACTTTTTTAGCCCCCTTTCACATCATTCATCAATGATCAGGACCCACCCAGACCACCACAAAGCAGGTATTATTGGTTAATTCTCAGCACTGCAGAGACACTGATATAGTAAGTGTGGTACTAGTGTATCAGATACAGCAATGCTGTGATCATCTCAGTGTCACTACTTGACCGAGAATAGTCCACTGATGAAGGACTAGAGGAAGACCAACACAAACTGTGCAGCAGCAGATGAGCTATCGTCTCTGACTTTACATCTACAAGGTGGACTGACAAGGTAGGAGTGTTTAATAGAGTGGACACAGAGTGCACACTGCAGACAGCACTGCTGTGTCTGATCCACTCGTACCAGCACAACACGCACTAACACACCAACACCACGTCAGTGTCGCTGCAGTGCTGAGAATGTTTCATGAATAATACCTGCTCTGTGGTGGCCCTGTAAAAAGAGAAGGGGGGCATCAGTGTATACAAAGAAACAGATGGACTCCAGTCTGTAAGTCAGGAGTACCGTAAAAATAACCAGTGAGCATGTAGAGTATGTTTGGGAGAGAGAATGAACATCTGAATCCTACCTGTTAAACATACTCAGCTCTTGACAGATGTGGAGTCTCTGGTCAATTTTTTTGTCACTTGGAGTTTGTGAAGATGGATTCCTCATGACTGCATCTAAAATGAAGAAATAAGTCAGTAAAATTAGTAATAAATACTCACCATACAAAACATAAGGATAAAGAAACCTGAACAAACAGTAAACAGTATCAAAAATAAATCTACAAAGTAACAAGAAAAACAAAGGTATATGCAAAACAATATAAGAAAGAGCAGGTTACTGTGAACAACACAGCCTCCTCAGTGGGAAAAGATTATTACAGGTCACGTCAAGGACACACACCTAGCTAACTCTAGCTAGCGGTTAGGTCTGTTTACTTCGAATATGTGTTGAATTGAGCCCCTCGCAAACTTATGCTATGCTAGTCGTCCCTTAACTGTACGTTGAACAACACTGTACTGTCTTTTACAATAGCACACAATCTTTAAAGTCCTATTGTTTTTATACAACAGTTTTGCAAAGTAAAGAAAAAAGCAAAGCAGGTGAGTCAAATACATGTTAAAATACATAATATTGACAATGTCTTGTGCTAAAAGATGTAATAAAATATTTAGCATAAGATGTAATAATATTTCAAAGATCAATACCATAAAGATGCTATAAATTAAAGTACCTGGGACAATTCCTGATCAGTTGAGAATGAGAAGCAGCAGTGGACGGCTGTAAAAGATAAAACATTTGGTAAAGGTTTAAAAGACTAGCTTCAACAACTTAAACAGATAAAGGCACATTTATGTTGGCTAACTGCATTTCTATAAGCATTCAAGCCTCTCGAATCCAGTAAACATGCTGCTTTTATAGCTTAGAGATATTTTCTGGCTTATTCTGGAGTTGGTAATCAGCGAGAAGCAGGGTGGACAAAATACACAGCTTCTTAGTTGATGTGTAAGACAGATGTTGGTAATTTGAGTAAAAGCAGAAATACTCTTGGTTAAATATTACTTGTGAAAAGGTATTCAGTCAACATCTGTACTGGAGTCAACATGAGAAAACATTTAAAAACGCCACAAAACTGTTCTTTCCCAAAGGTTATTACAGTCAGTCAACAGTCAGTCATGAGAAACACAGACATACTAATAACTATTAAGTTTAAAACACTGACTTCAGTTAAAGACACACATATTCATCTTAGACGATTACAAATGTAGAAAAATGAGCATAAACAAACAGCAACATGCCAGAGAAAGAGAGGTAAATAAAAGCTGCTTCCATACCTGAGAAATGCTGGTGGTAGATGTAGGAAACGTGTAGTAACTGCAAGAAGAAAAGAGATGGTTAAGCCTGAAAACAGGGACAAGAGGAGAAGAACAGATTTCACAAACTTTAGTGTGATAAAGGATTGTTAGTGTGTAAAATCACTTGGTTTCTAGTTACCAAATCGCAGCTCAGTTGACCTTAAACTACCTGTACCGGTCACTCCACATCTCCCCCTCAGATTTCTGTGTTTATCCTCTAAACTCCTGTGAGAGAAGCTGCTCTGTGGTCTGTGAGCCCGTTAGCCTGCTGGCCACCAAGCTAACAGCCTCACACAGCACACAGCGCAGTTAGCTAGGTTAGGTAAACTAAGCTAGCTGGTTTCTGCTTTTCCAGTCTCTCGACGTCTCCAGTTTAGATCTGAGCCCATCATGGTCAGCACAGGTCAGCCGGAGTGAACTGGTCGTCCAGCAGAGCTATTAACTTAGCTTAAGCTCGCGCTTACGTAGCTAAACTAGCTAACCTAGGTTATTTAGCCAGCTAGCAACTCTAACAACTCTACCACCCCAGTCTGTTACACCATAAACTCAACACCGCCTCACTTTAAAACTGTAAAGGTGTCTCTCATATTTCTGAGAGCAAACAGGCACTAAAGTTGTGACTCGCTAGCGAGCTGGTTAGCTAGGTTAGCTAACTTAACTGTTAGCGAGTGATGCTTATTTTAGTTTTGACAGATGAAGAGTTCAGCATTCACAGATTACAGACTTGGGTTTAAATAAATATCTGATTGAAAAGCTGCTGCTACGTTAAATAAACCAAGAATTTATTCACCAAACGCATTTTGAGTCATTTCGAAGTTTCCAGAAGCGGCTCTAGGAGCGGAGTTATCGCCTCCGCAGTGAAACGTTGGTGACGGTTCGGAGCTCAATACGGGTGTAATCTGCTCTCCCCAATACGGGTGTAATCTGTTCTCCCCAATACGGGTGTAATCTGCTCTCCTCAATACGGGTTTAATCTGCTCTCCCCAATACGGGTGTAATCTGCACTCCTCAATACGGGTATAATCTGCTCTCCTCAATACGGGTGTAATCTGCTCTCCCTAATACGGGTGTAATCTGCTCTCTTCAATACGGTGTAATCTGCTCTCCCCAATACGGGTGTAAGCCGCACTGCTATCTTACATTTGACTTAGAGCACAGGAAGTCTGACGTGTTTGGTAGCTGCAGTAAGTTAAAAGAATGGGCAGCTGCCACAGCAACATACTTGGACAGTATTTGTTTCCTAGTCATAATTAAAAAGGTCTTTCCTTTGGGAAGCTGGAGGACTGAACCCCTGAACCGTGTAGTCGCTGGTGTCCATGAGGCACAGAATGCGTTGGGCAGAAATGTGAGGTGATTAAAACCGAATAGCTCCCAAAGAGTAAAACCTATCGAATTTCTGCATCGTTGTTGTTCCTGATAAAACATAAGTAAATTCGTCTCAGTGTATCACAGCTAATTTTATTCAACCAAAACTGCGTAAAATGCAATTAATAAAACAATCAAATTTATTGGATTCAGCTCAGTTTGATTTCTAACTGAACACAGTCTTTTTTATTATGGAGAGGTTACTATTAGTTATTTAGTGAATATTAATTAACCCCAGTCCCACTTTTTACAGTGTAAAGATTTATTATTAAATTGTTTACAAAAATATTATTAGTATATGAATTAAAAATTATTATTATTATTATTATTATTATTAAAACTATACATAAAAAATGATGATGTTAACAATGTAAAGGTGGTAAATTTCCTGTTTACCTCATTTTTATTTCCTGATTAAAGGATGAGGCCAGAACTGATCTCCATACCTTTACTGACATACAAAATAAATATAAATGTATTATTATTATTATTGTTATTATTATTATTGTTGTTGTTGTTGTTGTTAATAATAATGATGATAATAATAATAATAATAATAATAATAATAATAATATCATTATCATGTTAAAATGATAACATGATATGTATAAGATTGAATTTTTTCTTCATTCAAAGTTCTGACTTTTGTCTTTTTCAGAGCTGCAGGTAAAACTCTAATAAAGAAGCTCTGTGTGAGGAACTGATGGGTCTGTTATTTGTTCATTTAGAGAGAGTTTCTGTGGTTCTTTAGTGAAGAAGTGTTTCTGAAAAAACTCGCTATTTAACGAACTTTCTTAAAAAAATGTTGATGAAGTGATTTTGGGAAACGAACCCAGAATGATCAGCACAGTAAAAAAGCCTGACCTGCTGCTTGACGGCTCTGATTTGAGCTGTTTTCAGCTCTCAGTTCTCCACATAAACCTGAAAACGTGTTGATGGTGTTTGAGTATTCGGCTCTCCTGAAGCTCCGACTCCTGACTGTTACAATAGAGATTCATCTTTTAGTCTTTCATTCAGTTTATTTATTAGTTTTCCTTCAGCTCATGATCCTCATTCATTCATGAAGCTTCAGAACACAAAACTCTCTTCTTATATTTACCGTTTCTTAATGATTTATTTCATATGTTCCTTCATGATCTGTTCCTGATTGACACTATATTAGTTAATAATAGTTATTATATCAGTTCATCTTTTAGTTCATATATCAGTTAATCTTAGTTATTATATGAGTTAATCTGTCTGTTCATTCTGTAAATGTACTTTATCTGATTTTAACTGCTGCAGGAATAAAAACAATTCCTTCTCATGTTTGTTCATCAGTAATGAAGCATAACACATTATTCATTACTGATAATTACTATATTAGTTCATGAGTTGTTGATGCATAATTACTAGTTTATTAAGGAACCTTATTGTAAAGTGTTACCAGTCATTTCTATAAGGGTTGAGTTTCTGCTGTAGGTTTACACTTTAACTGTTTAGCTGAACATCTTCATGGAGTTGTACTGAAAGCATTGAGTGACAGTTCAGTAGTGAAGGATGAAGAACTACAGTACAGATGAGAAAAGGAGATTCTGATGAGGAGATAAAGAGTTAAAAAGACTGAAATATTATAATTGTAAAATGTTTCTCATGGAGATTTGACTAACTTTGTGTTTCCTTCTGTTTTTATTCCACAGAATGGTCGGTAAGTAAATAACTGTGTTTCCTTCTTTCTCTGCTGGTAGTGACTGATTTTATACTCTTATCACATGAACTACATTCAATACAGACATCAAGCAGCTACATAATATTGAGGTTTAGGTAAATTTCACATGATGAACAAAGTCTCTGATCTCAGAATGAAAGCTTTTGACTTCATCTCCCTCCTTCCTTCCCACAATGCTCCTGTGCATAATCCCACTGCACTGCAGAAATGTAGAGACAGTGAAGTTCACTGATGAGAAAAAGACACAAAAAATAAAAGCAGTCTGGCTCTGTTGGGAGTGATGTCACTGTTCTTATGTGATGATGGAATATTTGAGTCGTTCATCATCAGTACATCATTACCATTAGAGTGTCTCTCATTACTGTAGTTTTCCTCTCCTCCATTACTGAAAATAGCCCAGAACACACACAGCAGGAGCTTCTGACACACACTCACACACACTATCTGCCTGTTTGATTAGTCTCTGTATCAGTGACTCACAACAAGCAGCAAGAAATGAAGAGTCAGCAGCTCTGAAAGACTTGATTACTGAGATCCTCTCATCTCCTTCACTTCCATTCACTTAATTTAAGAATGATCAGCTTCTCTTATTCAGTCTGCAGAGTCTCTCAGCACAGATTTACTAGATGATTTTTTTTTCATATATTCTTTGTGGCTTTAATTATGAAATCTTCAGGATGTTTTATTTACTTCTACAGTCTTTTACTTCTTCAGACAGATAAGAGAGGAGAGAATGAAGAGGGAGGAGTGTCAGACTGACTGAAATATAGAATGCTCATTTTTGATTATTCACTGTGTCTGTTTAAATGAACTACATCACATCTGTTACATTACTTTTAGAGAGAGAATGTAAATACTAAATTTAGTAAAAATAAATGTAATACTAAATTTGAAAGTTTCTAGTTCTAAAAATAACACTGTCAGTCTGTATCAGATCCTCATAAAGAAAAGAACCCCCCCCAAACAACAGAGCAGCATCATCCACATTCACTGTGCTGTTATTTTTCCTGTTTTCAGATTAGGTAAATATAATAATTCATTTATGATTCCACACATTAAATCTTCACATTATATTATTCACTTCACAGGAGGAGGCAAGACAGAGATGTGAGTATAATTCAGTGTGTAATTCTTTTATTGTGATGTGCTGATTGTTGATGAAGAATGTTTGTGTTGTAAAGACTGAATGTATTTATCTGTACTGTGTGTTCAGAGTGTTCAGCTGAACATCATCAGCAGAGAGAGTTACTAACACACACTTCAGCTCTGTATGTATCACTATAGTGTAGAGCTCACAGCAGCCTGAGATGACTGAACACCATTAATAACACTGTTACCTCATTCACACAGTCTAACACACACACACACACACACACACACACACACACACACACCTGATCCACACACTGATACTGACAGATTGACACAGTGAAGCTCACAGTTTTTCACACTGATTATCATTAATATAATCAGAAGTTTGTGTTAGAATCAATTCCTTACATTAATTTTAACAGCAGAGTCACGTTTATATCAGCATTTATATTTAATACAGTTCTATGAAGGTAATAATGTAGCTAATAATGAACTATAATAACTGATCAGCTGGATCATGAAGTAAAGACAGAACAAACAGGTTACAGACAGTCAGAGAAGCAGCAGAGAGTCAGACGTATAGAGGACAGAATCAGACTAACTTCTCAGAAGCTACAGATCAGCAGATCTCAGACTGTAGAAACAGCTTTTAGATCTCATAGTTTGCATTTTCAATTTTAGTGCTCAGTCATTTTTCCTCTCAAACTGTAAAATATCAACCTGACTGCAGGTTTTAAATCAACAAGTCTGCCATATGAAGGCAGTTCTCTCTGCAGATTGAGCTCCTGAGCTGTGCCTCACTGACTGACCCTCAAACTGCACCTATACTGTGAACAATTAAACCCTCTTTGTCTCAAACAGCTCTAAAACACACTGTCAGTGCTGTGTTTATATCAGCCTAATGATACTTCTGTAGTTTAGCTAGACAGAGGGTGGCAGATCATTATGTGTCAACTAGCCCAACTTCACTAACCCTCTAAATCCTCACTGCTACATATTTAGTTTTCATTGTTGTTTACATCCAAAGTTTCAGCTGTCCTGTATGTTTTTGTTTTTTTAGAAAGACCTCAGTC